TCGCCCTACGCCTCCTCGCCCGCGCCGCCGCTCGCTGCCGTCGTCGAGGAGGGTGTGTGCGCCGCGGCGACCGCCTCGACCGCCGCGCGGAGCCGGTCGCGGGAGGCAGACTCGCCCGGCTTGCCGGCCGGCGGGAGGGAGGCGTGCAGCTGGCGCAGCGCCGCGCCAAAGGCCGCCTCGTCGAGGACGGGCGCCAGCGGAGGGGGCGCGCCGGCCTGGAAGCGCAGCGCGTCGACGACGCGCGCCGCCTCGTCGAGGCGCGCCTATTCACAGCAGTAGGGTGTGAAGAGACGCTGTTCACACCCCCCTCGTCGCGTCGTCGCCGCGTCCGCGCGCGCCGCGTCGCCGCCGCAGCGCTCTGACGCCTCACAGAGGTCGGCGGCGAGCCGGAGCAGGAGCGGGCCGCGGGCGGCGGGCTCGACGCACGGCAGGAATCGGTGCAGCAGGGGGAGCAGCCGGCCCGGGAGCGACACCTGAGCAGCACCGTGGCGACGGGGCTAAGAGGGGCTCCTCTTTTCCGCGCGCGCCCACCGCAAGGCGCGCGATACACGCACCTCGCCCTGCCTCGACGCGACCGCGCGGAGCAGCGACTCGGCCGTCTCTGCGTCCGGCTCCCACCCGGCGGCAGCCATCTCGTGCACGGCCTATTCACAGCAGTAGGGTGTGAAGAGACGCTGTTCACACCCCGCGGCAGCCATCTCGTGCACGGCCTGCTAATTAATTAATTAACGAATTAATTAGTTAATTAATTAGCCATCTCGTGCACTGCCTGCTCGGGAAGGGAGAAGCTAGGGAAGGGGGTAAGGTGATCGTCTACACACGCACGAGGTGGTGGGGCAAGGGCCGGGCTAGTCCCTCGCGACTCCACGTCTGACGACCGGAGCCGCACGGCATTACAAGTGCAAGGCCCAGTGCGCGCGGGTGGGCGGTGTGTGTGGCCTGCTCGGCGCGGGCAGAGTCGCCCGCGTTGAGGCAGGCGGCGACGAGGGCGCGGAAGGTGGTCGAGTTTGGGATCACCTAATCAAATCATTAAACAAGGAATTCACTAACTAATTCACGGGAGGTGGTCGAGGTTGGGATCACCTCGAGCTGCTTCATATACGCAAAAATGCGCAGCGCGTACTCGCCCTCGCCGCTCTTGCCGCACAGGCCGATGAGCGAGTTGAAGACGGCCGGCTCGGGCACCTGCTCGCATATCTCCCCATATCTCCCCATACCTCCCCATATCTCGGGCTGTGAAGCCTGCGCCCTCCACAGGCCGAAGCAGAAGGTGAGGGTGAGGGTGAGGGTGAGGGGTGAGGGGT